CGAGTTCTTATTTGTCTAGTTCTCATATGTAGCAGTTCTCATTTTCCGAGTTCTCATCCCTGGTACCACCGTTTTTTGCAAGGAAAATCATCTGCACTTTGACGTGATTATACTTGCAAAAACACACTACAGTAAATTTCTACAGTAATCAAAACACCGTGCCATCGAATTTCAGAAGAAAACAACCGGAAGAATCGAATAAGAATCTTCAGAAATAGCTCAAAAACCTACAAAGGCCTAAAGTTTTCGCGAAAAATCGAAGAAAAAATGAGTTTTTCTCATGAAAAAGCGCTAAATTATCAGGTTACCGTAGTTTTCGTTTGTTGAGACCTTTCACATATCCGATTTTTTACACCAGTAGATCTGAAAAACAAGCTTGAGACGCAGAGAAAAATTTTGAAAATCTGTCTGCGTCTCCACCTAATATGTACTATTTATGCTTTTCGCTTCGAGATATCCTCTTATACACTTTTTTCAGGAGATATGTTATATTTCCATTCTGTAAAAAGTGCACCAGGATTGCGAGTGGATATCGTTGAAGACGTACGACACATCAACACTATTGCCGTAAAAAGTCTCAAAACTGGCTCCATTATCCTGGGAGGAGGTTTGTGAATCCACGTGGTTGTTTAAATACATCTAAACCATTTCAGGTTTTGTCAAGCATCACATCAACAACGCGAATCTGATGAGAAACGGTTCCGACCACACTGTCTACATCAATACCGGTCAGGAATTCGATGGATCCGATTCTGGAGCTCAGCCCGATGAAGCTGTCAGCTGGGGAAAAGTGAAACCGTCGGCTGGCGCAGTGAAAGTACACGCAGAAGCCACGCTGGTCTTCCCACTGCTGGTCTCTGAAACATTCGCCAAACATGTGCATCGGAAGAATTAATCATTTTCTATGTTTCAATTGTTTTTTTTCTTGTTACTAGCTTGTTTTTGTTGACTTATGAAATATATAACTGTTTATGAAATTCTGAAAACTCATCTCTTGAAGAACTCTGAAAGTTGTTACAAAAGAATTGTGTTTGCCATGACAAATTCTGGAAAAAAACCGATTGAGTGGCGCGTCGAATGGGAATTGTTGACTGAAATCATAAATATTCCTTGTTTTTTTCCACGAACTTTGGAAATTTTCAGTAAATAAAACCCTAAAACCCCTCGTCTTCTATTTCTTCATAATTCTGAATCACTTAGCAAACTCCTAATAATGTGGTGGCCCCATATAAAGCTGCTCCCAGAGAGACAGAGAATGAATTGTTCGGATTCACTCGTCCGGAATTTCTTTTATTTTCTTTCTTCTCTGATATTTTCTATCGAAATTGACATTTTTAGATAATGACGTCTTTATGGATTCCGAATGCCATTTTTCTCATGATGAGTTCGGAAGTGTGGGCGGTAGGAAGTGTATGTTATCAGTGCGCGACGCCAAATCTTGAGAGCAATTGGGCAATTACTGGATTGCCATTGAAACCGAGTAATCTGGAGTTTGATCAGTGAGTGAGGAGGGACTAAGATTTGAGTTTTTGGTTTCTAGGTCACATAGGAAAGATCCTGAGAAATCAGTATTTATTTACAAAAAGACAGAGATAAATTCAACGTTAATATAACAGAAATTTAGGAAACAGATTCATTTCAGTAGCTGGTTACTGTAGGCGATTTCAATGAGATTCCCGAGAAGATGAAAACAGTATGATAAAATATCAGACTTTGTGGTAAATAGAATCAATAAATGCCCTTAATAATTTAATGTAACCGGAGATTTGACCTTCATGGGACAGCCCAAATTAGAATGTCTAAAGGGTTACTAAATACTGAAAAACATTCAAATCGTCATAACAAAGCATTGAAAAGTGTTGAAATTTCAACTTATGGAACCGATAGAGAAACAAAATTTGACTATAGATTTCAAATCTTCCACGATCGGCTCTGATGACAGTTCGATTCGTTCCGGAGATAAGTCGATCACGGCATGAAAGTATTTTTCGCTGAAGAACCTCCCGTACTTTTCCGACGGCAACACTCAAAGCTTTTAAAATTGAGTAGTTTTTTTCGTGGAAACCCTCTGGTCCACATATGGTAAAGTCAAATGGGTTCAAATCTGGCGACGAAGCCGGTTTTTCTTCAACCTAGATCAACCTTGGAAATTTGTCCATGAACCTGTCCTGAGTGCATGGGGCACAAACCTAAACGGTTTCGAAGTGCAATAATACGGCTGTATTTCCCGTAATTGTTAGCCTTAACCGAGAATATTTCGTCATCAAAAAGAGCGAAAAAAGGCTGGGCGTGCCGCGTTTGACATTATTTCGAAATGAATTCTGCTGTCATCAGAACCGATGGTGGAAGATTCGAGAACTTGTTTTGAATTTTATTTTTATATAAGGCCGATGAACTACAGTTAAAATTTCAACAGTTATCAATGTTTTTTGAACGAGTTATGACGATTTGAATGTGCGTTTAGTATTTACCTTGTAAAAAATATTTGGGAAACCATTATTTTTAGAACATGTGAGGCGGCCAACGACGCTGATACTAAGGACAGTAAATTTATGTCTACCATGTGCTCATCGTACTGTTTTGAACTTGCGATGCCAATCAACGAGGAATATGGATTCGTAAGAGGTTGTCATGGAGACTTTGTTTGGGAAGAATTTCGAGTTAGCAATGAATCATGTCAAAAAACTCCTGTCAAAAAAACGGCGGAAGACAAAAGCATTTATGTTGGTTCATTAAAAAAACTAAATATCTTTATTCTTTAATTACAGGCTGGATCACATTTCTGTCCACCATCTGGCGAAGATGAAACTAAATGTAACAAAAAACTCATAAAAGGCGACATTACCGCTACACTTGAAAAATGTGATCCTGTTGAATTACATACTTGCAAGTCATGCAGTTCGTATGATGGAGCTGGAAGTTGCTCAGCATCGACCACTGACACTTGCAAAGCGCCATACTGTACCAAAACTGTAGGAACATTGGATGGTAACTTGAGTATTTTTAAAAATTTCAATTTATTGATTCAACTTTCAGGTGGAAGTTATGAATCTCGTGGTTGTGCATTTTTCAATCCAATTGGGAGTAATGTGTGCTCATGGACCGATCAGACATACAATGTGTCAACTGGAGTGGATAGTGTAGTTCAAAGAACGAAAAGAACGAAAAGATCGATTTCGATGGCTTTTCGAGCCAATCAATGTTATTGTCAAGGTAGGGGAACTATTCAAAAAAAAAATCATCGAAATCTTTTATTTCCAGGCGAACTGTGCAACCCATCTCCTCGATTCTCTACTATCCTTCTCTCATTTTTGTCTGCTTCTTTTCTTGCTTTTCTGTAAAATTCTGGCATTCTATGCAATTTTCATACAGCTTGTTCTAATTTTTCACATGGCTTTAAGCCGACGTATTCGACGAGAATAAAAAAGGGATTTTGTTTCCGTTGAATTTCGGAAAATTGAGACAGAGAATGTCAGGGGAAAATTGATGTGAAGACGTTGTATCGGGATGACGTTAAGATGAAAAGAGCATGAGAATTTGAATAGCTCTTTCTTGATTCAAAAAAAGGGGATTACTGTGGTTGAATGGTCTTTCAAATCAGTTTAAAAGTGAAAGCAGCTCGAGTTCATTTTTAATCCCTTGTAGGAGTAGATCCATTATTTCAATGAAATCAAGAGTTCAAAGGTGAAGGTATCAAATCATCTAAAAATATTAATTTTCAAGTTTAACATTTTCTAGATGTTCAAACTCAGTTTGTCCCATAAAGATCAAATCTGTAATTGTCTACAGTAACCAGCTACCGTAATGAATCTATTTCCTACATTTCTGATATACAGTGCTCCACAAAATGACGCTTCCATCCTTCTTTTGTACTGAAACACCTATTTAGGTCAATATTCGTAAAAAGGTGTCGACATGACAAATAAAGGTCTCCCTTCAAAATCTACGTACAAAAAGTTTGGAGCCATCAACGTGACCCGGAAACGAGAAACCGGAAAATTCGAATTCCCTCCCCCCTTTTTGGCCGTTCCGGAAAATGAAACTTCCCCTCTGAACAAGTGACATTTTGGTGGTTTTGAAGCTTTGAGGAATTATTTTTAAATTCTGAATTCGTAGAATTTCAAGATTCTGACCCCTATACACAGAGACCCTCACGGAGTCTAAAGTCGGGATTTCCGGATTTTCGAATTTTTGAGTTTTCGAATTCCCGAATTCCAGGATTCTGAATTCCCGAAGTTCTCTCATAGGAGCCGAGATAATCAAGCTCAAACTTAACATTGTGGAGGGCTCTTCTATTACAGGCGTTACGGTAGGTTTGCCCGACGCTTTGAAAATTACCGTAAAACCTTTATTAGAAGGGTCCCTTTAATATATATATATTAATAATATATATATATATATATATATATTAATATAAGGGCCATCTGATAGAAGGGCCCACGCAGAGGTGCTTGGAAAATTAGAAGGCCCCCTGTAATAGAAGGGCACCCTTCGAAAAGTTTTGTTTGGAATTAAAAACTTCCGCACGTTTCCAGTGAAAAATATTCCGGAAATATCAAAATTTTACACAACAAGGATTTCCCGAATTTTTCGATTAAAAAATTCTGAAAAAAATAGCTGGAAAAATAGAAGGGCACCTGTAATAGAAGGGCTCTCCGGAGGTACATTGGAACAATAGAAGAACCGGTCCTTCTAATACAAGTTTTACGAAAATTAAAAACTGCTATTTAGGACAAATTTTTCAGAATGGTCTAGAATTTTAAAATTTTATTAAAAGATTTATTCTTCTTCACTATTTTTTCAACGTTGACCAACAAAATCCTTCTCAACCAATTCAGACGCCAAAATCTCAGCGATCACAGCATCCCCATAATTAGTTGACGTCACGACAAATCTCTGAATAAATCTCTGAACCAAGCGCAATTTTAAAACCTTATCCTCGAACTGCTAATAGTAGTTCACCATTGAAGTTTATAAATTGCCTATTGATTGAAATTCGGAAATTCTGAAATGCTCAAATTTCGATCAAGTAGCAATATGTCTTCAAGGAAATAAAATAAAAAAGTTCTGAACTAAAAAAACACAATTCCTCTTTTTTCATTCGTATTTTCTCATCTATCCATCCCGCTTCCTTTCCCTTCCACATCCCACATTTTCCAGCCCAGTCACCTCCATAATTTCTTCATTGTTCCCATCCATCCGTCCTTAAAAAACAACGTCAAACTCGTCGTGTTTTCTCTGCTCAACTCCTATACTCTCTCGTATTCTTCGGGAAACCGAAGCTCCGCCCACTTTTAGTTAGCTCTCTCACTCCCGATTAAAGGAATTGGGAGAAAAAGCAGCTGATATTTTTTTTAGTGGTTTAATCCAAAAAATTCCAATTACTTTTTTATGTTCCTGTCTCCCCCCGGTAGATTACCTTTTTTTCAATTTCCGGAATTCAATTTTCTAGGGGTAAAAGGAAAAAAAAGATAATAAATTTCTTTCTGTTCTTGTTTGCATAGTTCTTCAATTCTTTCCTTGAATTCAAAATTCTACCTTGAATTTGAAAATGTATTTCGAACTACACTTTTTGCATTTCAAACAGATTTCGAACTACGAAATTGTTTAGTTCATTTTTTTGCAGTATTTTTTCAGCTCCAAAACTTCTGAATTTCAGCAAAATGAATACAATGATGACTGCACAACAGAAAAAGCACGGAGCATTTCGACGATCACAGAGGTTAGTTTGGGAAGTTTAGTTACTGTAAAATCTGTATTAAAAGAGCCCCTATAATAGAAGGGCCCCTGTAAAAGATTGATCAAAATTTGATGAATTTTGAAAGAGAATTCACCGATTTTTTAAATGAAAATTATTAGAAAAAACCCCAGAAAGTTCAAAATTGTGACCATTTCCGGAAACAATTTTTTTTCGGGAATTGAGCTTTTCGAACTTCGGTATGTGAAAGGTGCACGGAAATTTCAGAAATTCAGAAGTTCAAGAATTTCGAAATTTTAAAATTCAGGAATTCATAAATTCTGAAGTTTCAAAATAGAAACTTGAAACTTTAAATTTGAAACTTTAAAATTTCAAAATTTCGAATTCCAACTTCATTTTCAATTCAGAAATTCAGAACTTCAAAAATTCGGAATTCAGAAACTTAGAAAATCTGAAATTTTGTAATTCTGTAATTCTGGAAATCGGAAAATTCCCAAATTCAGAAATTCTCAGAATCGTAAATATCTGAAATTCAGGAAATCTCAAAACCTGGAAATTCCGAAATTCTGAAATTCTCAAAATAGCAAAATTCCGAAATTTAGGACCTCTGAAATCGAAAATTACGGAATTCCTGAATTCTCAATATCGGAAAAGTCCGGAAATCGGGAATTCGGGAATTCCCAAAATATGGAAACATGGAATTTTGAGAATCGAAAAATTACGGAATTCAGGAGTTCTCAAAATCAGGAAATTTCAAAATTCGGGAAATCTGAACATCTGAAAATTCAAGAAATCAAGTATTCTCAAAATGGGAAAATTCCAAATTCCAGAAATCCGAAATTTTTAAACTCGGAAATTTCGACATTTTGAAACTCAAACTTTTCGGCATTCCGAAAATTTCTAGGCGCTCCCCTCGAACTTCCAAAATAAGTTCCAGAAAAATATTCAATTTTGCTGGCCCATTTTCCTGGTACCTGTTCTAAATATATCTAATTTCATACCCGACTGGGTTTAGGTTTCAACAGGAAACTGGAAAACATTGCAATTTGTTTTTTGGATCTTTTGAGTTCAAAATAATTCAAAAAACCAAATTATCTAGATCCAAAGATCTAAAAAAGTTCGTAAATTATTTTATTATACATCATCATGAGCATCACATTGCTCATCATTCCAAAAACTTGTTTTCCATTGTTCTCTTCCTTTTTTACATCATCAGAATTTCTGAATACCAAATTTCAGATTCGTCTGTCATATATGGAAAACTTCTCTTTTAAAATTGTTTCTTTTGAATTTTTAAAAATTCGAATTCCGTTCTAAAATTCAGGGATTCTTTGACCTATAATCCATAGCAAAACTTGCTGAAGAAGATGGAACGTTATTTCCACTATTTCCTTTTTTTCGATTTGAAAAATGTGCAAAACTTTGTTGTTTATGCTCCCATTGTTCTTATTTGAAATGCATTGATGATCCATTTCCTCCACTATATTTTTTTTCGAAATACAAAAAAAGTGGACGTCATCTAGGTGGCCTAACATTTCCCTCTAGTCCATGAATTGTATAAAAAAAGAATCAAATTTCGATGATTCGCATGACACTACTCAATTTGTCTCTTCTTTTTTTTTGACTCTTTTTCGAAAAAACTTGGAAAATTGGTTTTCAACACAGAGAACAAGAAAAGAGAGCACTAATTGCACTTTTGACAAGAAAAAGAAGATGAACAAGAAAATTGGAAAAAAAGAGACACTGGGGTTAGAAAATAATCTATATTTGGAGTCAGAAGTGAAAAAGAGCAACTTGAAATATAAGTGATAAAATATTGCTACAAATGTCAGAAGAAGAAGATATTCAATTTCCGAAAGTCAATTCGACTAGGTTGGTTATTCGTTTTTATTAATTTCCTGTTTTGTCTGGTCATTCAAGAAAAAATACAAAAAAGGTATTTAAAAAAGTATAAAAACCCACCCAAATTATCAGCTGCAAGTCCATATAGCTAATTTCTTGTAAAATATATATAAAAATAGTCAACTGATAAAATATCTTTCATGATATCACCAATATTTTGTCATTTGACTACTTTTTAATATCTTTCGAATGAACCGAGTTTAATTGCTTCAAAGCTCAAAGTTAGAGGTTTCATTCTATTAGTTCATTCTGGGAATACTGTAGAACGGAATAGTGGAATGAAATCAAAGTCAATTTTTTTGCAATAAAGATTACTGTAGCTCGGAAATCAAACCATGAAAGTTAGAATCCAGTACACTAATTCAAATTTGAAAAAAGTTTTAGAATGTGAACCCAATTACGTATGACTTTACCCTTTTATGGTATAACTACCCTGGCTGGCGCGTCTTCGACACGCTTTCGTCGCTCCGCTCCTCACCTTTTGATTTCTCTTTTTCAAAGTGTCTACAGTACCGGTCTACAAATAATGCATTTTTCTGTGCATTTTGAGTTATTTGAATCATTTTGAAGAGTCTGGAGTTCGGCTGTCAAGTTTCCAATCACTCTGAAAGTTTTAGAGGATGTTAAACAGACTTAAATTAAAAACTTTGCACTCACAAAATTTCATGAAAGTTCCCAGTTTTTCAGCAATTCACCGATTTATGAAGGGCATCTATTTTTCCACATTTTCAGAACAATAACGGACCGAAAATGAGTTTTTCAGAAAGTGGCAATTATCGGAAAACTAGGAATTTTCAAAAGTTCGGCGAATGCAAAGTTTTCAATCTAGGCCTGTTTTGTAATCTTCAAAATTTTTAAACTGATCGGAAAATTGACAGCCGAGCTCCAGACTCCTGAAATTGGTTATGATATTGTAATTGGGACAACAATTTTTTTTTAGTTTAAAAACTTTCCGTTGTATCTGGCTTCACTTTTATAGTTGAAAGCCTTTTTGTCCATATTCGTTCAAAAGAGGTGTGGAAGTTCTAACAAACTTCCACCCTACCCTAATTTTCAGAATAACTTCCTCATATTTTCCTATTAATTTTTGCAATCCTCAAAAAAAAACGTTGCTTCCTCACTTTCTTCCTTTTTCTATGCTTCAAAATCTGCGAATCTGCACAATTTTTGATTATCCTGCTCTCTTTCCTTCTCAAAAAAAACCGCACGGCTCAAATTAGTCTCATTTCGATAGTGTGAAAATGAGATGGGCAGATGAAAGGAGAAGCGAAAAACGTTTTCGGATCATTTTTCATTTTCATGCACACTTGTTTCTTTCTTTGGATACTCGGAACTTTTTTTACTTTACTGTTTCCAGTTTATCGTACGAATTGTTTCTTGCCGTGCACTTTGAGCTCAATTATCTCGCTTGCTAAAAGCGATAATAAAAATCGGTCAACTGATGAAATATTGGTGATAAATTGATAAACAATTTATCAGTTGACAATTTTTTTTGTTATCTTTCGAAGGAACCGAGATAATTGAGCTCAAAATGCATGGTCTTCTTTAGAGCAAATATTTTCTGCTTTTTTTGTGCATGAAAAAAAGTTCAAAAAGTCTTCTTCGTGGGTGGTAAAAACTCATTTAGGAAACTCATTTAGGATAAAACGAGTGACTCATAAAGTGCCCTTCACAAAAGTAGACTTGTGTCAGAAACAGATAATGTCAATGACAGAGAGAAAGTATGTCCGAAAATGGGTTCATCGATTTAAATAAAGATTTTGAGGGCATAAAATTTGCAAACTTTGACTTATAGAAAAAAACTGAGATCTTTGTTTTTTTTTAATTTTTTGAGATTTTCAGTTCTTTAAAATAACTAATCTGAGACATGATTTGTAGCAGGAAAAAAAGCAGGAACTAGAGAAAACGAATAATTGGGTATTTTAATTTTAGGAAGTAATTTTTTCGGTGTTTTGTACCCCCAATTCCAGGTTATATTAGAAATTGATTTCTCGTTTCTAGGAGACCAATTGGCAATTGAATCTTATTTTTCACTTTGCAAAGTTTCATATGACAATTTTTCTGAAATATCAAAAAGCTTGAGTTTTCATGATATCCAGGAAAAATAATTAATATTCAAGCTAATAATTTAGGGATTCTCAATTTCTTAGCAAGGAAAATCATTTTGCACAGTTGACAACTTTTCTTTGTACCTTTATACCGTTCTTCCTCTAAAAGAGCCCAATTTGAAACTAGTCAACTTTTAGCTCAATTATCTCGAGTCCTGTAAAAGATGTCAAAATTTTGTCAACTGATAAATTATTTATCTTAATATCACAACTATTTTATCAGTGGACAAGTTTTTGATATCTTTCACAGGAATCGAAATAATTGAGCTCAAAGTTTCTGGAGGGAATATGGTAGTTCATCTTGTAGTTTTTCTTTTTTTTTCTGGATTCGTATTTTAAATTTTTTGGGAAGACTCGAATATGAAACTTTTGAATGACACACCTATAATTCTACGACAATCCAATTCTTTTTGAAATTTTCACAACAATTGAAGAACTCTAACATCTTTACTGTCACTCGAAAAAGCCTTATTTTCCATTTAAAAACCAAAATACCCATTTTTTTTCTGGAAACTGTATATCCTTTTCCTTGTGTTGACCCTTTTTTTTGTCCTTCTCATATGATGCTCACTTGCTGTGCACAAAAAACTCCAGAAGGCGGGAAAACACATAGTTAGGCGTCACTTCTTCTCTTGTCCCAAATTTTTTTTGAGGGAGGAGGAGGGAAGGGGGAGGACTCCCACAAGTTCTCATCTTTCAGACAATTTGAGTGAGACATCAAAGATGTCCATCTTCTCACATTTTATACACTTTGGAACCATTCTCTCCAATAGAAGAAAAAAAGAGAAAAAGGTTCAATTTTTGGAGTGTGTCGAGGGGTTCAACAGAACAATCAGTCACAAAAGTGTAGGTGGAAGGGTTGGAAAATGAAGGGATCAGTTGAAAAATTTTGAAAAACAAATGTCAATTTTCGGATTCTTAGAATCTCATTTAAACATCTACAGTACCGGTCCAAAAGATATACAAAAACACATTTTTCAGTGTCAAGTTTCCGATCACTTTGAAAACCTTGAAAGGCGTAAATTAGACCTAGATTAAAAACTTTGCATTCTCAGAATTTTTCTGTGTCTTTCAGAAATCGTCGAATATCCGAAAAAAATTAGGAATTTTCAAAAGTTCTGTGAATGCAAAGTTTTCAATCTAGGTTTGTTTTACAAACTCTTAAAATTTCCAAAGTGATTGGACACTTGACAGTCGAGCTCCAGACTCTTCAAAATTGTCAAAATGAGCAAAAACTAACTGAAAGATACGTCCAACAAATAAATTCTCACAAAATGGTTGATTTTTGAGATAATCTAAAAATTTTAAAATATCAGAAGTTCCTCATGGAGCGTCCAAAATTTCAGAATCTGGGATTTCTGGGCCCAGAAAGCAGTCCAAAATCACCACCAGATTCCCAAGGTTACCAAATTTTAAACAAGTGCAACCAGATTCAATTATCTCGATTTCCGTAAAAGATATCAAAGATGTGTCAACTAACAAAATGTTTGTGATATCAAGATAAAAAATTCATGAGTTGGCAGCTTTTTTATACCTTGCATAGAATTTGAGATAATTGTCATCAATCTTGTCAATGTCTGAATTAGAGGGTCCTCCACATTCTTAAGATTGAGCTCAATTATCTCGATCCCTATGCAAGACACCAAAAATGTGTTAACTGATAAAATGCTTGTAACATTATTGTAAACAATTTATCAGTTGATAACTTCTTCAGATATTTGACAGGAACCGAGAAAAACTGGCTCAAAGTTTGATGGCCTTTTATAACAGGCTTTACGGCAATTTGACAGTTCCCCCAAATGCGTTTCCCAAAAACTAAAAAATTTGGATCTTAAGTTTTATCTTCTGTTTTGATGACTGTGGATCATTATATTTTCAGAGGAAATCCAATTAGTTTCATGTTTTTGCATTCGTTTCCTTCTCAAAAAATGTTTTTGCTCACATATTTTTTTTTCACTAGACCGGAAAATAACATGTTCAAAAATAGATATGAGTCAGTATCTTCTTATCATTAACATCACTAATTTCTAAAGTTGCTAAATTTCCAGCACACGAAGTCCAGAACATTCTCCACCGTGTTCTCCACTGATCCGTCGCCAGAGACCAGCCACTTTGTACGTTAAGCATTCGCCAAGGAGCAATCACGTGGCACCAATCAAGAAAATCTCAATTCCCACGGTAGGATTCAGACGGCTTTTTCAGAAGACGTGGGCTCTTCTTAGTTCCAGAGACCTCTGTTGAAGGAATTTTATGTTGAGACTGCAAACCAATATGTCTAAAAATTGTTCGAAATTCTCACAATAGAATTCTGAGAAATTTGAAATTCTAGAGAAAAATTCTCGATTTTTTGAGGAACTCATAAATGGCTGAACTTCCAGATTACTTTTTTCAGTTTTCTGATCAAACGATTCTGAATTTCAGAAATTTTGAATTTCTGAATTTCCGAATTTCTGAATTGCTGAATTTCTGATAAAAATTAAAAATCAAACGATTGATTCAAAGTGTTTCTGAAAATTTTTCATTTTTTCCCGTTCTCTTTAATGTAGGTGTACATAAATTATAATGCCAATTTTGAATATCAAAAAAAAATTATACAAATCGTCATCACTTTTTTCCTTCATCTCGTCATTCGGAAGATTGACTGACGTTTCGGGAAAAATGAACAGGCAGTTTTAGTTTGCTTCTAGAAATCTAGAATTAAAAAAAAATTTCAGGTCAGCGTTCACGAAATGGCAACAAATGCAGAATGTTTGATGGTCCGTCCGCAGATTCCTCCACAGCAACAGGTATGGCCTAGGAAATTTCTAGGCCACATTACTAGAAAGAATTGTTCTTAATTTCCTGCTTCCCAGCTCACTCCCTCTCCCACAAAACAAAACTTTGAGTTTTCCACGAACTGAACCGAAAAGAGAAAAAATTGTCTCCCTCTCTTGACACAAAATAAATTGAATTGTGTCTCAATTTCCTGTCTTTCTGCAGTTGTGCCCAAATTCAATGGTTCCTCCTTCGTCTTATGCCGAACGCTTCTCCAGAAGTGCATCCTCATCGCCAAGAAGGGGCGGAGCTTCCGGTGGGCCTGATGGAGCAACGGCAGCAGTTGTTATTGGACCGGATGGGCAGTTAAGGTGAGAAGAAATGCTCATTAGTTTATATTTTGAAGCTCTTCCCATATTTTGAAAAAAAGGACACTTTTTACAAAAATCCCGGTTTCATGTGAGGAAAAATGTGGCCTAACTTTCACAACATGATTTTTCTAGGCCACCGTAGTTGATGGACCAGAAATGACATGCACATTGTCTGTTTTCTAGGTCATTTATCATGGTGGCCTAAGTTTTTCAAGTTGAGTTTTCTAGGTCGCCAACTTTTATGGCCCAGAAATGACAAGATAATCCTGGTGGGTGTTTTAGATCACTTTGACATTGTGGCCTAATTTTTCAAGTTCAGTTTTGTAGGCCATTATGGTAAATGGTCAGGAAACACATCAGGTCATCACTAGGCCAAAAAGTGCGGTATCCTAGGACAACTTGCCAACGTTAGGATAAAATGACCTAGAACGCACTGAGTCCAGTTCAGTGGTTCGAAATTTGCTCGAACGAGTTTTCGAAACAATTTCGAACTTTCGAAAGAATTCTCGAAAAATGTTTGAACGAATTTTCATTTTTTTTTTTTCAAAATTTCGATCGAAAACTTTTTGAATTTTCAAAAAATATCTTTCGAAAAACGCGCATTGTTTGTGACCAATCTACATTTATAAAATTTCAAATGAAGAATATTCGAACTAGACATTTTTTCAAAATTGAATATTCCTTAGCAAATGGAGAAAAATTGGTTATCCATATCTTATTCTTCTTCTTCTACACTTTCCAACAAACTTCTTTTTTCCATTTCTCTTCCTCATTTTTCATAACTTCCTCGCTCATAAAAAAGCGCCCGACTTCCTTTTCAATGACATCATTTTCATTATTCTTTTGCTAAAACATTCATGTATATATCCGAGTCAAGAGTTAAAAACAAAACTTTAAAAAACCGGAAACTTTCTTTAATGGTTTTTATAGCTTGTGACGTTTTTTGAAGTTAGATCTTGTAAAAATCGCTCGTGAGAGAGATAAGGGATAATCAGAAAATCAGCTTTTCTTCAGATGATCCGCCCACTTTTTGAACTCCTGGAACTCCTTAAATCTTAAATGTTTTCATCACATTCTTGTTTTTAGTTCACCAGTCCAAAACACAAATATTATTTGAATTCGGTGAATTTTTGAGTTTTTGAGTTTTCAGAATTTTTTGAGTTTTTAAATTTTCGGATTTCTGAACTTATGAATTTCCTAACTTCTGGATTCCCGAATTGTTCCATTTCCATTGTTTTGGAATCTCAGAATCTTAGAATCTCAGAATCTTAGAATCTCAGAATCCAAGGATTTCAGAATCTCAGAATCTCAGAATCTTAGAATCTCAGAATCTTTGCAAACTGGAAAATTCGTGACTTTTAAAAATTGTGTCAAAGAATTGTCTCAGAATCTCAGAATCCCACAATCTCAGAATCTCATAATCTCAGGATCTCGGAATTCAAGGATTTCAAAATCTCAGAATCTCAGAATCTTAGAATCTCAGAATCTTAGAATCTCAGAATCTCAGAATCTCAGAATCTCAGAATCTCAGAATCACAAATCTCAGAATCTCAGAATCTCAGAATCTCAGGATCTCAGAATCCAAGGATTTCAAAATCTCAGAATCTCAGAATCTTAGAATCTCAGAATCTCAGAATCTCAGAATCTCAGAATCTCAGAATCTCAGAATCCAAGGATTTCAGAATCTCAGAATCTCAGAATCTTAGAATCTCAGAATCTTTTCAAACTGGAAAATTCGTGACTTTTAAAAATTGTGTCAAAGAATTGTGTCAGAATTTTTAACACCTTGGACCCAGACACGTGGGATGAGCTAGCTGATCACCAAGGCAAAATTTTCGAAGAAAAAAAAGTTTTAAAAAATCACGAGATTTTGCTTTTTTTACATTCTTTTTGTTTTCCTAAATAATTCAGGGAAGAGCTCAAAGTCTTCATGACCTGGTGTAATCCATTTCGACTGCTCATTTGAAATCTTTTCAATTGAGTTCGAGGCTTATTCTATAGATCAAAGTAGTGTATTCGTAGAATTATAATCCATAATGGGTCGTAGTATTATCTTTTATTCTCCTCTTCTTATTACTTTTAAAGTTTTCCAAGAAATTCTGATCAAATCGCATGGGAAATATTCTCTAACAGTTCCCAAAACTTTCAGTCTAGACCGTAAAACATAAAAACTTCCTCCCCGTTCTTCTTCCTCTTTGAAATGCATATATGTCGTGATAGAAGAACATTTTCCAAGTTTTGGAATTCGTTGAATTTCCAATCATTGTATTTTTCGATTCTCTATTTTTCCAGACGTCGTGAATCAGTTCTCCAAATGTTGAATCGCATCTGGAAGAGTGACGAATGCACTCGACGGCCGTCTGTTCAGAAATCCAATGCATTGGATGTTCCGACGTGAGTTTCGAAAAACATTCTTTCATGGTTACTGTAGAAGATTTGGGGTTAGGAAATCAAAATATTGGAGTGGAAATTACAGTAGTTGGAATATATTTGTATTATTTAGACTTTATTGTGGAAAACTAGTTAACTTTGAGTTAGAAGTGCTCAAAAATGATTTGCTCTAATAGAAGCTCACACAAAGGTCAACGTTGAGCTTTTGTTATCTCGATTTCTGTAAAAGATATCAAAAAGAGATGAACTGACAAAATTTTATAAATATTATGATAAACATTTTATCAGTTGATCACTTTTTGATATCTTTCACAGGAATCGAGAAAACTGAGCTTAATTTTGATAGTCTCACAGGTGATTCGCGAACAATCCGTTACGGACGCTAGGCGTTCGCGCGCGGTTGAATCAATCCGAATAATGTAATGCTTTTTACTGAAAACGGTTCCGTATGCGGTTCCTATTTCAACAGAGCGCGAAACGTCCGTAACTGACCCGTTCGCATTTTACCTGTTCTGAAAAGATGTTCTATAAATGGGAGTACGGTAGATGTACCGAAAAAAAGTCAATGAATGTATACTCGAAATGATAAAAATTGGAATCTATGTCACGACCTAATTTTTTTCTGGGTCACAACCTAATTTTTTTCTAGGTCACGACCTTAATTTTTCTAGGTCACGACCTAATTTTTCTAATTTCCTAGGTCACGACCTAATTCATTTTTCTAGGTCACGACCTAATTTTTTTCTAGGTCACGACCTAATTTTTTTCTAGGTGACGACCTAATTTTTTCTAGGTCACGACCTAATTTTTTCTAGGTCACGACCTAATTTTTTCTAGGTCACGACCTAATTTTTTTCTAGGTCACGACCTAATTTTTTTCTAGGTGACGACCTAATTTTTTTTCTAGGTCATGACCTTAAATTTTCTAGGTCACGACCTAATTTTTTTCTAGGTCACAATCTATTTTTTCTAGGTCATGACCTAATTTTTTCTATATCATGACCTTAATTTTTTCTAGGTCACGAACTAAAAATTAGGTCGCGACCAATTTTTTTGAGTTTTCAGGGTTTTGGTAGCTGTATGATTTCTAGAAACTATAACATAATATAACGTAGATCAATCGATTCTCAAATGGCGTTTTTAATCTCTCTTTTTTGGTAAAATTAAGTTTCATTGAACTCAACTTTTTTTTTTGATTTTCTGGACCTGAAACAATGAGTTTTGAACCAAAAAAAAAGCTAATCTGATTTCGAACCAGAACAGTCTGCAGAAGCATAGTTCAAAGTTACACTTTGAATGACAAAGTTTTGACTCGAAACGTCTGTTGTCCGGAAGTGCGTGTTTAGATTTCCGGATTAGTGAGTGCACGGAGTCGAAATTTTCCAGACCTCAAGGCTACAATTAAATCCTCCCTCTAGGTCATACGAACTCCTTCATTTTTGAATTTCTGGTTCAAAAATTAATTTTCGTTTTAGAGGGCTTCTAATTCCAGAAAATTTCTAGACTTTGTTTCAAATTCCACTCTTTTGGATTTTCCAAAAACTTCTCCTCACATCTGTTTTTTATAGTTTTCAGGTACAATTTCCTCTAATCTCTTTATGAGTCAACCATAAAAAAGTGATGATCATCTGAAGTTTTTTTTTGTCTGAAAATAATACATCTGGATGTTTTATGATCATCTGGAGTTCTGATATCGCATAAAAATGAGTGTTCTTCTTTTTGAATTCTTGAATTCTTTCTCGAAAGATTCGACGATGAGATTTCGATTTTTTTTCGTCATTCTCATTCTCAGTGAAGCAGAAAAATCTCTATTGGCTATTGAGTTTCCTTCTTTGAAGTTTTTTGTTTATAGACGTTATCTGAAATTCGAAGATTCTGATGAAGTGGATTCTCTTGAGTTTCACACATATCTATTCGTTTTTTATGAGCATTAGAACACCAATTAACATGAAAATATTTTCCGTTTCGCATGATTAAATTGAGTTGAGTTGATATGTTCTTCCAAAAAATTTTCTTCCGAATTACCCGAAAAACACTTCCGAGTTTTCGATGATAGCTATTAGTCGTATAGAATCTGAAAAATCTTCAGAAGACGTGACATGTAGACGTCACGAAGATGAAATTTCCGAATAAAAAGAGACATGAGTTTAGAGACAAAAAAACATACCCAAGTATTTCTTTTTCCTTGTATGTGACGTCTTTTTGCCTTTTGTTCTTTTCCAGTTTTAATCTAAATCTCTATTATAAATATTCCCTTTTTTGTCATTTTATTAAAATGTGATTTCTCTGAATCATTCTGGATATTTTAATTCTTTTTTTGAGTTTTTCAGTTCATGAGAATGTTAATATTTTCATTTTTCTGGAGTTTCAAAAGTAAAATCTTCAAAATATGACACAAAAAATTATTCGGAAATTTTTAAGTGTCGATTTAAAAAAAATATTATTTTGGTATAAAAAGAACGGAAGAGAAACACCGTCGACCGTGGCCGAAGGTACCACAACGAAAACTACAGTAACCTAAAAATTTAACGATTTTTTTCTTCAAATGTTTGCAAAATTTTTGGACCTTTTCAAGTATTTCAGCTATTTTCAAGATTCCTTTTCGTTTTTTCCGGTTTTTTTTTCTTTCATGTGATGGCACGGTGATTTTACTACTGTAGATTACTGCAGATTACTGTAGAAACCAAATTTCCTTTTGTATTTTTTTTGCAAACACAATCACGTCAAAACGCAGATAAATTTTGTTTGCAAAAAAAAATACAAAATACTAGATTTTCTACTGTAATCTACAGTAATCTTCCGTCAAGAACGTCATCCCGTCAAGTTTCAAACAAGAAAAATTCTTAAAAATCGAAAAAGAATCTTCAAAAATAGCTGAAAAACCTAAAAAGGTCTAAAAATTTTGCAACAAAATCGAAGAGAAAATCAATTTTTTCTTTCACTTTTAACACTATCAACAACTTCAATTTTCCGACATTTTCGGGTGCAAAAAACTGAAATCAGTATACAACGAGAAAACCCCGGAAAAACTAATACTTTTTCAGGTTATTGTAGTAGTCGTTGTGGGACCTTCGGCCACGGCCACCGCCTTTTCTCTTCCATAGCTCCGATTTTTGGTACCAGAATTTCAAACTATAAAAATATGAGACAAACACTGGTTCTAGCAAGTTGAATTTTTGAACTTTTTTCTTTAAAATTTGGGCTTTGATTCTTGAAAATCCTCTGTATTTCAAATCTACCAAAATATTTGACAAATCGTTTCTCTCAAATTTAAGACATCAGGATTTCCGACTCCGTGGGAAAGAAGTCCAGAAACAAATGAGAATCTCGTTTTTCAAAAACCCACCATTTTAGATTTTAGAGGAGCATCTCTCCACGTCATCAAGCAAAATGGGCGGAGCTTGTTCTCAATTAGAGGATTTTTAAGCCCAGAGATTTTTGAATTCTTCTCAAAAATTCATCACAAAAAAGGAAAAAAGTTCGAGAAGCCGGTGAAAAAATTGGTTTTTGAACCGCCCGTATTTGAGATTTATACATAATACACACTCTAATCGGATCACTTTCATCTCTAAAATCTCTAAATTTCAACTATAGCCATATATTTTCAGCTAAATATCAAAAATATTATTTTCTTCTTATCCCACTTTTACTTCTTCCCCTATCTATTAGAGTAATTAGAAAAGAAAATGAATGAATGAGAGTACGTAGGAGGGAACAAGAATATTTCTTTTTTTTTTCTTGCAGAGCAGAAGAATGAGATCATTCTTCACTTCTGACTGAATTCCGTACTTGTAATCCAAATTAAATTATGCTCCGATGAGCATTTACTCTTTCATCGTCTTCTTCAACTTTTTTTTCTTCAAATGTTTCTAACTCTTCTTCTTCCTTTTCAGCTTCATAACTCATTTCTTTCCCATTTTTCAGGAATATAAAATATGTTGACCCTTCTGGGAAAAATCACTCATTTTCGGTAAGAGAAACTGATAAAACTGTCGTAAAACCTGTAATAGAAGAGCCTCTAACTTCGAGCCAAATTATTTCGGCTCCAATAAAAGCCGAAAGTTTATTAAATAATTAGAAACTTAGTCAGTTTACTGATGAATTATTTGAATTTTCACACTCTGAAGTCCAGTACGAAGTTTTGCTCAAATCTTATGCTTGTTCAAACTTGAGTCCAACTACCATCCACACTCCTATAGAAGGCCACCCTATACTTGGCCTTTGAGCTCAATTATCTCAATTCCTGTAAAAGGTACTAGAAACATGTCAACTAATAAAATGTTTACGATATTATGCCAAACATTTTATCAGTGAACACATATTTGATATCTTTTACAGAAACTGAGATAAATCAGAGTATTTACATGTAGAAGAGGAAACTCAAAATCCTAGAACTTTCTTTTCTAGGTAACCTCCTAATAAACATTTAAAAAACAAATAAACCAGAAAACGGGACAAAAAACAATTTTTTCTCGTGTTTTGAGATGATCAGTGTCAAGTACCTCTTCTCAGACACACACAACGATTTTTCAATTTTCTCTCTCCCGACCTCGTCATTTTTTTCTGGCACAAATTGAGCTTCCTAGTAGACTACTAAATGTTCAATAATATGAGATTCAGACCGTTGTAAGTTAGAAATTTTCATTCGGGTACGAAAGGTGCCATAACGATAACTATCGTAACCTGAAAATTTGGGTATTTTTCGAGAGAAAAACTCATTTTTTCTTGGATTTTTTGCAAACTTTTGAGACCTTTTTAGGTTTTTCATCTATTTCAAGATTCTTTTTCGATTTTTCCGGTTTCTTCGCCTAGAATT